GTTTAATTTTAACATTGTTATCATGTAGGAAGTCATCTCCATTGTTACAGTGTTTGCAAATACCCTAGTATTTTATATCTTACATAGAAATATGTTTGGTATGATTATGAGAACACTTAGAAAATTGACTTGAGGGGGTTTGGCAGGCAAGAGGAGGGAGAGCATTAGAACAAATAGCTAATGTTTATGGGACTTAAAACCTAGATGATGGGTTGATAGGTGCCCCAAACCAACATGGCACACGTATACTTATATAACAAACCTACACATTCTGCACTTGTATCCTGAAACTTAAAGTAGAAAAAAAATGTTAAAAAGAGTTCTTCAGAGAAAAGGAAAATGATATAGGTCAGAAACTTGGTTCTACATAAAGAAATAAGGAGCACTGAAAGGAAAAAAAAATGAATTTGAGGTCCAAGTAGCCAGCCATAGTTCCTGTCCATGATTCTCTAGAAGGCTATTTTTTAAAGCTCTTGGGCCCAAAGACTGAGGCAGCCAGGACCTCTCCTGTATTCAGAAATGCTTTTCTACCTGATGGGTTAATTGGTGTACATGGCACCTGGTTCCTACAAATAAAATCTTCAAGTTGCAAAGAGATTTACATGATTGATCTTTCCTGGAATTGTTACTGGGGATGAGTGCTGTTCACTCTTCCCAATATCCCCTCCTTTCCTCTTCCTTACTGGCCTTCCCCAAACAATAATAAAAATAAGAGAGAAAACAATGACAGTCTGGCTTTATAATGTCAAAGTAAGTTCAGAGTAAAATGCCTTCTTAGGTTTTCATTTTAATGCCTTACTACATGTGAAATTGCCTCCTTCTCTTTTATTACATTTGAGATTGCCAGAATTACCCATCAGCCTATCAACCAGCCTGTTCTTTATTCAAGGTTCTGGGCTAGCTGAGGAGGAAGAGTGACCAGTATACCGGATTTTTTCTAACATTAGAAGAAGAGAGAGAGTGTGTGTGTGTGTGTGTGTGTATTTATTCCTTAGAATAAGGCTGATACAAAGAAGGCAGATCACTTTTGTAGAATACTAGTATATACTGCTTTATGCATTAATTCCAACTGGAATATATGACCATACTGAGACCAGTACCTAAATTTTATGAACTTGATGACTATGAAAAATAATCTCTATGTTCATGTCTATAATTTTAATTGTATTTTTATTTGAAGTTAGTAGCTGACTAAAGATACATTCTAGGATTAGCCTGCTTGACCTTTGTGAATCACTAGATATAAAATTGAATGTGTCAAGGAACCTATTCTGAGATTAATTTGACTGTGCTTATGTTTTGTGTACCCTCAATCTTCCCTGGGGAGAACAAAAGCTCTTATGGATAGAACTAGGTTCTCCCATCCCATAGAATATACATTCGCATATAAAGAGACCTTAAAAATAATGTGCCACTTGCAATGTTATCAGTGAAGAAATACGAGAGAGGTAAAGTGATCTACAAGGGTCAGTCACCTCACAGTTAGGGCAATCTGGGCATGTGGTAGCCCAGTGCTGAGATCTGTGCTTGTAGTTGCAGCCCATGGCATACATTTGACCTTTGATTTAGCTACGTTGCATACTCTGCTCCAGTGTTCAGAAAGCAGAGTAAGTCAACAGGGCAGAAGAAGCCTTTCAGTCCTTCCTCTCATTCCTGTCTCGCCCTTGCAGGCCAACTTGCCCCTGCTGCAGCGTGAGCTCCTCCACTGCGCAAGACTGGCCAAACAGAACCCTGCCCAGTACCTCGCCCAGCATGAACAGCTGCTTCTGGATGCCAGCACCACCTCACCTGTTGACTCCTCAGAGCTGCTTCTCGATGTGAACGAAAACGGGAAGAGGCGAACTCCAGACAGGTGAGAGAGAGGAGGAGCCTAGACAAACCATGGCCTTTTTCTCATACCTGTGGCATAAGGAAACATGATTCATGTCATAATTAAACTGCTGGCCTATGTGTCTTGAACAATAGCAATAAGCCATTGTGGCCATCTTGGGAATCTGGCTCTGGCCTGGGATTTTACAGAGTTTTGAATCTCTGGCCTGTGACAGTTTGGCTTTTGTGTAGGTTGATCTTTCCTGTTTGTAATATTAAAGCTAAATGATGAAGATAAATGATTTTCAGATTTGTCAAGTACCACTGATGGCTCTTAGACACACGTCAGTATTAAAATTCTCATTTATTATGTAGTTCAACCCAACGGCATACTTTACCTTTCAATATTCTGAAATTTGCTTGTCCTAGTTTCCTTAAAATGTGATGGTTTTGAAGTTTGTTTGTATATATTTTTTTAACATGGTACAGTAGCTATTTGTTTTGGTTTGTATATGAACTAAAAGAAAACTTCTGGGACACTAGGTGAACTGAGAAAAGATATACAGTAGAAACAATAGATGATATTTTTGCTGAAAAATTTACTTTTTAGATACTGTTCTATCAGATACTATGCTGTCATAACTGAGAATTCTAAGAAATGTAAAGTAAAACCACTTCTCCATTAAACCCTACAGAGTACTTGTTGAATAAAGTATGCACATGAAATTTCCCATGTACCGTATTAAAATAATTTTTGCGAATACCTCATCCTCATATATAATTATCTTCTAGTATAGGGATGCAAAGTCTTATTAGCATCGTTTTGCAGAGTATTTGTGAGATACAGAGAATTTTACAGTGAAGCTATATTCAAAAACTTATTTATCATGTACTTTGCTTTCTTTCTTTGCTTATCTATCCTCTTTTTCTGCATTTCATCAGACATGGGTGTAACAGCCTTCATGAGGTTAACACTGGCACAGTTATGTTCCACATTCATAAGAGCTTAAGATCTTTGAAGCTTCTCAGAGACATCTATTTGTGACCGACTTAGCTATCCTTAAATGTATTAGCTGCTTTGCAAATCAGAATGTTATTTAAAAGCCAGCCAGTTTACATATTGTTATTACATAATCCTCTGTTAAGCAGTTTTTATGCTACAATCTCTGGAATTTTGCTCCTCTTGACAGAAAACCTCTTAATAGTTTAAAATTCCTAAAGCAAATAGTTAAATATTAGTCTCCTTTTGACGTATTGTATGCTTACCTTCATATATGATCTACAAACAGAGCTACTTTCTTATTCTTGCAAGTCATATTTTCTTGGTCATATTTAAGAGTGAAATAGAGCCCTTGGTACTTTAGCTTTTAAGGGGAATTGCTTAATCCTGTTGCCTGAGTGGCCTGTCCACATGGTGCTGAAAACCAAGAGGTGGCTCAAAGATAGATGATTTATATGTGCATTCCTGTTTGATCTGAACCCATTTACCCTGCAGGAAATAAGTATGACATACCAATACTGAGGTATTTTAGCTCCATGTTTCCAGGATTACATGATAAAAGAATGAAAGAGAGACTGGATGGAAAATTGAGAAGGAAATTTATTTAGGGTTATTGGGGCAGGGGGGAGTGTAACAGGGAAATATTTTGATAGCTAAGATAAATGTAGAGATGATCCTATAGGCAAAATTGAAAATGGACACAACTTATTCTGGCATTCCTAATTGTTAAATAACCATAACAGGGAATATGAAAATCTGTTTCATTCATTTCTCTATATTTCCAGCTATTTTCCCACTAGCTCTTTTCCAGTATTTTATATTTGAATGTACTGTGACTTTAGACTATCCTTGGACAGTCCTAAGGTAAGTGCTGGGAAGCATGTTAACATTGATATGAAAACTTCATTTTAAATTCCACAAATGCTCAGCATTGTTGTTTTGATGCTCCATTGCTGTGCATGCATCGGTGTATGCATTCAGTCAGGTAGAACTCTCCTAAAAAGAGTCTTTGGTCTGATTTTCCCTTTAGTTTTTCATGGACGGTTGCCAGAGTCGGAGTTCACATGGTTAATCTTTGGATGGAACATTCTTTATCAAATGGAGCCCTGAAGTATACATTATATCGCAAAGATGGCAAATGGGTTGGTTTCCTTAGAGTTAGGAGGAAGGGTAATGAGAATATGTTGTGTAAATACATTTGTATCTTGTGGGAATTTGATCAGAGCCAAGAAAATATGGGCCTCTACAGTATTTTTTCTTTTTGCATATATTTTCTGCATCTTGTTTGCATATGCATTTTCCCCTTCCCTGGTTATTTATCTGTACATCCAGATCTACTATATGAAATTTTATAGAGTATGGAGCTGTCTGACAGCAGAGCTTTTTTTGTTTTACTGAATGTTTTGTTGGTGCATATGGTCTGACATGGATGAGCAGCCACGGTGAGATTTTGGAGTCTATTAAACTGGCTCATTAAAAAGATCAATCTGTTTCTGTAATAACACTGGGAGCCATCAGTCACTAAAAGAGGGAAAAACTGACACCTGAGGAGAAAACACATTTTGGTAATTTGTTCATGACATGTCATGAACAAAAGAGCACTCTATATTTTGTTTACAACTTTGGGGGCTTAAATTCTGTGACGATTGCTGAGTTAATGTACTAAACAGTCATCACGTGTTTCAGGGATGGTTTTTGGCAAATTTAACTTTCTTCTGATCCTTAAATATGATTGTCACTGGTAATGTTTTTTTCTTTTTTAAAACATTATTGTTATTTACAGAGAAATGAGTAATCTAAGGAAGTCTATGAAATCTTTCTTTTTTTTTTTTTTTCCTGTATGGAACAGTGAAATGTTTTTTACTTTCTTTTAAAAATAGCTCTAGGGAGCATCTCTGAACAAGGATACTGAATTTGTAGGTCTGTGAGAGAATATTGAAGAACCCAAAGTAGAACAAGACAATTTTTATTATAAAATTGTTATTTCTTTTCTAAAATATTAGGGAAAATAAGTCGAAAATTCTGATTTCTATTTGTTAATATGTAAACGTCAGTTATTTATAGTAGGCTGTTATTCTTTTACCATTCGGTGGTGGGAGATGCTGAAGAAGGGAATGCAATCTTTCTTTTGGAGCCATGTAAACGAAATGAACACTCTCACAGATAGAGCGTAGAAGCTAAGGCTCTGCTTAGAGAGCCATGGTGGCTCATATAGACACAGCACATTTGTGTAGGAGGAGGGAAAATAACTGTTAGATAATGCTTCCTTTCTTTGAGACTGCAGAATGGGTTAAAATTATTACGATTGAAAGAAAACAATTGTGTTACGATGATGACCATTGCTGTCTTTCTTTTCTCAGAGATTTGGTATCACAGCTTTTTGATCTAATTTGCCTTTAGTATTGTGTTCTTACCTGTGATGCTACTTTTCTGATTCAGTTTTTCTTGCTTAAGAAATCAAATAATCTTTGGTTTTGTATGGGTAACGTTGTTTTGTTTCCCATTTTGTTCCCTCTACTGTCTCAAGTGATTGATGGTTAAGTATTAATCCCCTTCTTATATATCATTATTTTAATATCATTATACTTTACATTACTCTCAGTTTAACATTTTTAAACTTTTAATACAATGGCCATGTAGTTGGATTAATATGTATTTTCTCCTCCACTAAGAATTAAACATTATTCTCTAAAAAGACTTACTTGAACTTTAGAATTATAGAATTATATATTTTGTCAGCTAAGAGGGAGCTTATGGATATACCAGGCTCCAGCCCCTCCCTCCCCCTTTTTTTTTTGAAGCGTGGTCTTGCCATGTTGCCCAGGCTGCTCTTGAATTCCTGGACTCGTGTGATCCTCCCACCTCAGCCTCCCAAAGTGTGGGGATTACAGGCATGAGTCATCACATCCTGCCTTTTTACATTTCATACCAAAAGAAAAAAAAAATTACACATGCTTTAAATTTATGGATTTTCTTACGGGGTGTTATTTGTATCCTTTTTTGTTTTTTTAAGACAGGGTCTCACTATGTTGCGCAGGCTGGTCTCAAACTCCTGATCTCAGGTGAGCCTGCTGTCTCAGGCTCCCGAGTAGCTAGGACTACAGGTGCATGCCACCACACCCAGCCGGCCCCTGTCTCTTTATTCGTTCATGAGCTAATGCCCAAAGAACTTGCCTAAAGTTGCAGAGCTTCTTAGTGAAGAAACAAGCATATTTGCATACTTGAAATCTTCCAGTTGCACAAAATATGGTTTTTTTTTTAATGTGTAGAATTTATTTAAGAAGGGGTTTCACCATGATGGCCAGGCTGGTCTTGAACTCCTGACCTCAGGTGATTCACCCACCTCAGCCTCCCAAAGTGCTAGGATTACAGGCGTGAGCCACCGTGCCCGGCCCAAAATATGTTTTAATGTGCAGAATTTAAATAAGGAAACTCAACTAAGAATTGAGTTGAGTTTTTTTACCTTACTTTCCCTCATTTATTTTCCATAGTTGCTCAAGTGGGCAGATGCCATAGTATAGCACTCTGAAGTTTTATATATCTTTTTAACTATAGAAGAGCCACAGCCAGCCTGTATTCCTGGCTTAATGGATTGGTTAGCAAATGGTGAAGGTTGGAGGGTCAGAGGCAGTAATTTTGAAATCATGTTGGTTGTATTTGTAAGATTGCTCATGACAGTACACACCAACTAAACCAAATAGGTCCACTTTTTTGTTTCTGTAAAATGAAGGATAATTCACTATTTTTGTTGTTCTAAAAGAAAAGGCAAATATACTTTACAAGGAATTGTAGGGTTAATTGTGCGAATAAGAATTAGAATTTTATAACCTACTGCATTCAGTATTCTATAAAAAAATCCAGGGATTTTATATCACATTTTTATACATTCTAGTTTGTGTTGCCTCTATTATGTATTCCATAGTTGCAAAGAGTAATTTTTCAAAATATTAGTCATATCAATTGGGAGGCCTTCCAGTGAAATAAAACAAAATTATATTTATTTTATTTTATTTATTTATTTTGAGACAGAGTTTTGCTCTTGT